AAAAAAAAAAAAAAAAAAAAATTGAACTAGGTCTCTTGAAAGCTAAGGAGCCCACCGGAAGTAGAGGGCTGGGTGGGAGCTTCTGGGCTCCAGGCACAGAGCCAGAGCGCTGAGCCTGATTTCCCAGAGTGCACCTCAGCTGGCCCCTCAGGGTCTTGGGGTATTCAAAAAGGTAGGCAGCATCCTCCACTAAGCAGCCCCCTCCCCTGGCACATAATCCTCTTGTCCTTTGTCATCTAAGACCCACAGAAGCAGCAGAAGTTGGTTCCACATGGCTATAAATAATCCTGAGCCTGCAATTTGGGCACAAATGACCGTAAATCATTAGGGAAGGGCTGCCCAGCTGTGCAGCTGGCACTCGGTGGCATTTTTTTTTTGGACTTCTTTAGTTCCTCTGGGGATTTTGTTAATCTCACAAAGGGGAAATGAAAGCGGGCAGGGGCTGGGGATTTAGCTCAGCGGCACAGCGCCTGCCTGGCAAGCGTGATGTCGTGAGTTCGATTCCTGGTACCAGAAAAAAAAGAAAGAAAGAAAGTGGGCAGCACAGCTGACAGCTACCACATAGGCACAGGAGGCCTGAGGCACCAAGGGGGAACTCAAGCGCCCTGGCTCTGCGGCATGGGTTGGGACGGATCGCGAGGTCTCTTGGGTGTGGGGCAGGAGAAGGGTAAGGGGAGCAGACAGGCGGGACGGAATGGGCCAGGAGCAGACAGCGACGCCAGGCCCAGTCCACACTGACCTCGATGAAGAAGAGCGCAGCGTTGGAGTTGGGGTGGCCGCTGATGTAAATCCCAGCCAGCATGAGGGCCGCCACCAACAGGACGGCCAGCACGATGCCCACGATGGTGCCCCGGTGCACGGGGCGGCCCTTGGTGTCCGGGGACAGGCTGTCCCGCAGGCCTGTGGAGAGACTGTGAGGGCAGGCGGGGGCGGCGGGGAAGACCGGGCTGGGCCTCTGGGGTCCTGACACGGTCCCAGAGATGAGAGCCCAAGGAGCCTTCACAGGCACTGGGCGTCACCCTGGGGACGGAACCAGCGCTCTAGGCACCTTCGGGCAGGTTTCAGAAATCCTCTCGCCAGGACCCTCAGGGACGCTCTCTGCCACTGGGCCACACAAGCGCTCGTGAGGAGTTCACACAGGGCCGTGCTGGCTGGCACCTGGGGACGGTCTGCGTGGGTGCAGATCTATAGCGTGTGACCTCGGGCACCTCATTTAACCTCCCAAGCCCCCGTGGCCACTTCTGAAGAACAAGGGTGACAATCATAATGACCTGCTGGGGTGGCTGCGAGGGATACTGAGGTCATTCGAGCCCAGCACCTGAGACACCCCAGGAAACTCCAGCTGCGAGGACAGCAGCGCTGGTCCCTGGTCGCAGCATCGAGGCTGCTGTTCGCCTGTGTCCTCTGCTCTTAGACTGCGGGGTGCCCGCCACGGGCACCAGGGGAGTTCCACAGAGCGGATGGGCCCCTGGGAGCTGTGGGGCTGGCGAGCCTCGTCCCACGGAGGACAGAGGGTGCTTTCCACAGACTCAGAGCAGGGAGCTTCCCAGTACCCCAAGCCTGGAGTGGGGGGTCCCCGTCAGCCCTTGGGGTGGCTGCAGCCTGGGCCTGGCCGGTGCTGGGCACTAAGCCAGGGCAGAGGGCCCTGCCTGCACACAAGGGGTCCCCTTCCTGGTCACCCCTGAGGCTGGACAGGAGCTGCCCTCTGGTGTTCTCTGCGACCCCAGGTTAGAGACCCTGGCCTCCCTCACCAACCTCCAGCCCCTGGGGAGGAGGCCATGGCCACAGGTCTCCTTGTCAGGTGTCCTGCCTCAGTCCCGCCCCATTTCGACGCAGAGCATGTCCTATCCAGCAGGAGGCCCGGGCAGGCAGGTGGCCGTGTCCCCCTCACCCCCACAAGAGAAGGGGGTCTGATGAGGAGGCGCAGGCAGCGCTGTGCTCACCGTCTCCTCCCGCGCGGGGATCCAGCTTGGTGTCATCTGCAAAGAGAGCACAAACGGAGCAGGGTCAGCGGCACCGCCGCAGCCTTCGTCACCCCGGGTCAGGACGGGACCTCAGGGAGGTCATCTGCCTTCTCATTTGAGATGCTCGGAAACGGAAGCCCAGAGAGGGAGGGCGCGGGGCGGGGGCAGGAGACAGGGACAGCTAAGGGCCGGCTAGGTGTGGCTGGAGGGCGGAGGGCACAGCGGAGCCGGGAGGGGACGCGCCCAGCTTCCAAGGGTCGACAGAGCCGTGTCAGATTAGAGCTGGCGACTCGTGTGGGGACCGGGACTGCAGTTTCCCCCCTCAGTGTCCTTCCCGCCATCCTACCCGGGGCTCACATGGGGCAGAGAAGGAGCAGCCCCGTCCGCGGCCTGTGCGTGACGGCTGCGGCTGTTGCTGTCAGTTTAGTGTCACACAGATCCGCCACCGCAGCTCCCGGCCTCTCCCGGCCCTTCCTCTCTGCACCCCCCGCCACCTGCATCCTCTGAAAGCCGCCTGGGCTCGCAGGTGTCCCAGGCCCCCTGCCCCTCGTCCCCAGTCCTCCTCGCTCGCGTTGCAGCACCAGGCCACGGAGGAAATGCCACCCGCCTCCAGAACTCTCGCGGGCTGGGGTTAGGCTCCCCTCCTGGTTTTATTTACACTTTTGATATTTATTTGGTGTAACACAGAATTTTTGGCCTTAAGTTTGATTTTTGCAAAAACTGTACTAAAATACGATCTTGGTTATTGGGATTTTCTTGGAGCCTCCTTAAAATGTTCACCTGGGTTGACAGCCTCACTTGCCTCACACCACTGTGGTGCTCTCACCCCCCGGGGACAGCTGATTGCCCCTCGGGCCCTGGCACTACCTCTCTGTGGCATCCAGGTCCCATTGCTCCTCGGCGGCTCCCGGCTACCCTGTTTACCCTCCCCACGCCTGAGGGGGTGGCCTGTGCGGGACATGTTCCCAGCAAACCTTGAAATATCAGTAAATAGATGATAAAAGTATAAACTACAAGAAAAACTTAAAACATTTCCCTATAAGCCCGTCATGGTGGCACACACCTATATTCTTAGCACTCCTAGGAGGCTGAGGCAGGAGAATCACAAGTTTGAGCCCAGCCCGGGCAACTTAGTGAGAGCCCATCTCAAAATAAAATAAAAAGGGCTGGGATGCAGCTCAGAGTGAAGGCCCTGGGGGAAACCACAGGGTTTCCTCTAAGTGCAAGCTCACCCCTCACTCGCTTGTTAACTCCCAACCCTGCTGAGGTTTCCTTCTGCTTTGCCTCTATCAGTCCACAGTCTCACCACGACCCTGTCCGCAGCACCTGAGTCTTCTTTTTTTGAGACAGGGTCCCCCTATGCAGTTCAGGCTGGCCTTGAACTTGTGGCGCTCCTCCTGCTTTAGCCTCCTGAGTGTTGGGATTACAGGCGTGCACCACCATGCCCGGCTGAGTCTTAACCCGTAACAGCTCCTTGCTGTTCTTAGGCAACCTCCGAGTCCCCTCAGCGTGAGATCTGCCTTGGGGATCCCCATGTTCCGAATCTGCACAGACCCATTTCCATGTCTCTCAGTGCGGGGAAAGGCATCACGTGGAGGGGAAAGACAGCTTTTGGAGCCAGATGAGACCTGAGTCCATCTCTTCCTGGGCCCGTCAGCCTCCTCTCTGAGCCTTAATGCCTTCTTTATACAGTGAGGCTATAGGGCTGGGGGTACAGCTCAGCGCTGCAGCACTTGCCTGGCAAGCGTGAGGTCCTGAGTTCGACTCCGGACACCACCCCCCAAAATAAAAAATTAAAATGTGGATATGCAGGGAGTAATAAAAATATACAGTTTAGCTGGGTATGATGGCATACACCGGTAATCCCAGCACTCAGGAGGCTGAGGCAGGAGGATCCTTGCACATTCAAGACCAGCCTAAGCTATCAAAGTGAACTCAAGGCCAGCCTGAACTGCATAGGAAGACCCTGTTTCAAAGAGACCAAAAAAAAAATCAAAGAAGAAAAAGTGGCAAGAATGATGGGGTAAGGGTGTCAGAAGCGAGGGGAAGGATGTGAGGGTGGACTCCTGACAATGTGTCTTTGGCCATATACATTTTAAAGAATGTAAACAATCACCGTACTTTCCCATCACACCTCATAACACTACCAGCACCCAGGGAGGCCAGGACTGCACAGGAACCCACGCAGGACTTGGGCACATGGCCAGCCCCCAGGACAGCAGCCCTTTCTACCTTTCCCCCTCTCCTCCGTGACTTCCCTCTGGCCGGTCCAGCCCCAGCTGGCCAGCGATTAGAGAGGCAGCACCTCCTGCAGCTCTCAGCGCCCCGATTTGTCCCCGGAGCCCATTTCCTTCTCCAGGATGACTCAGACTGTGGCTGAGCGATGTTTTCCATGCTCCTCCCCTTCCCTCCTTCCCGTCATCCCCTGCGAGCAGGCGTCCGGGTCAGAGGGCCTTCCGGGGACCCACCGCCTTCCGTGTGCACCGACGGCTGGAGGGTCCAGGTGCGATGTCCCGGGGAGAGACCCCCTGCCTCAAGTGGCAGAGAAGCCTTGGGGACAGAGGACATCACGGCCCCACCCGGCCCCCCCCCGCCCGCACAGGGAGCAATGCCAAGGGGCCTGAGAGTTGGGGTTGGGTTAGAGGAACCCACATCCGAGTGTGGACCGGGTTAAAGAAACCCTGCCGGTGCCATGCAGGTCACGGTTCAGCTAAACGAAGATGACTTTTTTTTTTTGTCTTTTTGAGACAGGGTCTTGCTGTTCAGTTCAGGCTGGCCTTGTGCTCACTTTGTAGCCCAGGCTGGCCTCGAACTCGAAATGATCCTCCTGCCTCAGCCTCCCGAGTGCTGGGATTACAGGCATGTGCTACCACGCCCGGCCCCAAGATGACTTTGATAAAATGCCCAGCACCCAGAAGGGACATCGATTTCCCCTCACAGTGAGGCCACCCATAGCCTGCAGCACCAGGCTCAGAGCCATGTGGCACCCACTCTTCCTGAGCCCGCCCCCGTCTCCTGGCAGCAAGCCCCATCCCATCCGCACAAGGGTAGGAGACAGCATCCTGGGTAGCTCTCTCCAGGCCCCCGTCCTACCCCAGGGCCCGGCTTTACCTTCCGTGGTGGGACTGTCAACCAGGAAGGAGGAGGAAGTGGTGGTGATGGTGACGTCCTCATCCAACAGATTGCCCGAGCTACTGGGGGAAGCTGAGTACAGATCCTCCTCCCGGAAGTCCTCGCACGTCTTGCCCTCTGCCTGCAAGAGAACTGAGTGCTACTGCCAGATGTAGCTGGACCCCAAGTACATTTTTTTTGTTTGTTTTGTTTTTGTTTTTCTTTCGGTACCAGGAATCGAACTCACGACCTTGCGCTTGCCAGGCAGGCGCTGTGCCGCTGAGCTAAATCCCCAGCCCCGACTCCAAGTACATTTATACCTCCCACTAAATCCTAGCTACTCAGGAGGCTGAGGCAGGAGGGCCCTGAACCCAGGAGTCTGAAGCCAGCCTGGGCAACACAGCAAGATCTTGTCTCACAAAATAAACTAAACCTTCCATCTTGTCCTGTAACAGTCTTGTCCTACAGGGCAATCTGTGAGTTGCTTCAAATCCCTTGATTAATCAATAGGGCACTGGCCCCCAGCTTTTGGGGGTATGTCAGCAACATCAAGGAATCAAAATGCTGAGTGTTCTGGAAAATTCTAGCAGTGACAAGGAACCTCCATGGGCTTCTAAATAGCAGATGCTGGGACACACTCCATACCCCAGAATGACTGCCACCCTGAAAAGCTGCAGGGCTGGTGCCTGGCTGGTGCTTCACGGATGTCACTGTGTCCATGGCCTCGCCTAAGGGTCCAACTGGGGCTGAGGTCATGCCCAGGGTCCCCTCCACAGGGACCAGAGGAGCTCCTGGGGGCTGTCTGCTCATGGCCAAGTCTGGGAAGTACTTGTGGCTGGGATTTACAGGGCTCTCTAGAACCTTCTAGAACCTTCCACATGATCTGCAGGGCTCAGAGCAGATGGAACACAAATCTCAAATGGAGGAGAGGAGAAGACACCAACAATGAAAGACACTTAGAGGGCTAGGTATGGTGGTGCACGCCTATAATCTCAGCACTCAGAAGGCTGAGGCAGGAAGACTGCCATGAGTTTGGGGCTGGCCTAAACAATATGGTGAGAGCATGTCTCAAAAAAATTTTTAAAAAGGCACCCAGAGAAGAGCCACCCAGGGAGGGACCACCACAGGTCGCCCAAGCCACTCACCTCCTGGGCACAGCCATAGGCCAGCCACTCCTGGCGGTAGCGGTCAAAGCCACTGGAGCACCTGCAGGGGGACAGAAATGTCAGAGGCAAAGGGACTGGCGGAGAAGCCCCTCTGTCACAAGCCCCAATTCAGTAGCTACAGACCGGGTGGTCAGGCTCCCGGAGCACTGGGCAGCCGTGGAAGCTGCAGCTGGACCCTGCTGCCCCTCCATTCTTCCCTGGAGGCAGGAAGGTGTCTGTGGGGTCCCCACCTTCCTGATCCGGCTCCCCTGGATCAAGGCCACATCTGCCCAGATGTGTGTGGTGGGCTGCATGACCTCCAGTGACCTGTAAGGTCCCTTCGACCCTGCGCTGCTGTGGCATTGCTGAGCACGCGGGAAGCCGTGCCCACGTCCTCCTCTGAGAAACGCCTGCCACGCGCAGGGCTCTGAAGTGCGGCTCGGGCCCTGTGCTTGGAGAGCAGGGCTGGGCAGGGCTGGGCCCCGGTGGACACGGCCAGCACTTCCTGCATGACCTTTAAAGGGCAGGGAGGGCCCTGGCGGAGGCGGGAGAGATGGAGACACCAAGCGCCTCCCCAGGGAGAGGGTGGGGGCGAGGCGTGAGCCAGGGCCTCCCGCGCACTTCTCCGCTCTTGTCTCTGCAGCACTAGGGGAGTCACCGAGCCCTGCGTGAGCCCAGGGACACCTGCGCGGAAAGGACAACATCCGGAGCCGCCGGGGCCTGGAAATAACTCCCGGCAAGTTCCCCGTGCACCAGCAGCCGCCCACCATCTGCCCAAGATGGGCGAGGCGGAGGGCGAGGCTTCCCAGGGCTGAGGCCTCCGCCCGCTCGGAGCTGCTGTCTGGAGCGGGACGGCGGGACCTGGCCTTTCCGTAGGTCTCCTTGCCCGCCACTGTGGGGCTGGGGGCGCTGGGAGAGGCTCGGGACTCGTTCCTTAGATCACACTGATTTCCTGGAAACTCAGCCTGCAGGGCAGGTCTAAGGGCAACCACCCAGAGTCAAAGGCTGGCAGGAAAAGGAGCCATTTACTGGGCACCTCTGGAATGCCAGGCGGCCCAGGCCTGAGCAGCGCCCGCATCACCTCTTGGGAGCCCGACAGTGATGCTGGAGGCAAGGGTTATGACCATCACAAGCCCACCCGGGGGCTGAGGTCACCTTAGAGTCCAGAGTGGGCCATGCTGGGGTAGAGGATGACCGGAAGACGCCTGCCGGGGGAAGTGACGTTGTCTCCATCAGACCTGGCCCAGAGCAGGGAGGGAGCCCTAGGAGACTGGGAGTGGGCAACAGGATGAGGGGAGGGGAGAACAGACCCATAGGCGCCCCCTGGCATTCCAGGGACCTGGGTCAGCCTGGGCCCCCGACAGCTGGCGAGGATGGGCCCTCGCTAGAGTGCATCAGGCCCACGGTGTCGGGGGACAGGAAGTTTCCAGCCCATGTCAGCCTCACACGCTCCAAGGGCACCGCCTGCCACAGGGTCACCACCACAGCAGGGCAAAGGCCACACCAGAAGCCCCCACAACACTGCAGGGTCCCCGAGCCGAGAGAGACGCGCCACTAGGCATTTTGCGTGCACCTGACTCACCTGCGGTTCAGCATGCGCTGGACGCTGGGTCCTGCAGGGGCAGCCAGCCCTGAGCTCCCAGGCCTGCCCCCTCTAAGGTGATGGCAGGGCCCCATCACCAAGCCATGGCTCTCAGCCCTGCAGGTGCGCACGACCTAGCACGGCAGTCAGACCCCCAGGGGTCTGGTCTCCCGGATCTCAGTCCCAGGGTTGGGGTGGGGACCCTCGGGTGATCCCGAAGGGGACTGAGTTGTAGGGCTTCCCACTTCCGCAAGAGCCCTCATCCCCCGGGAACCCCCCGTGTGTTATTTCTCTTGGATGAGAGAACTGAGCTTGCATTAGGCGTCCATCCTGGGAGGGACTGGCTTCCAAGGGGGCGTGGATGATGAGTCAGCCTTAAGAACCTTATCCCCAATCTGGCTCCCACCCAGGAAACTCTGCTTCCAGAACCACGCACAGACCTCCCTCCGCAGCTCTAAGGGTCTACGGGTGTCTCCGCACCCACACCCGGGCCCGCGGGAACCCGGGGTCTCGGGCTCCACCTCGGTGGCTCATAGCTATCCCTGGGCTGGCGGTTCTCCCAGGTGTTGGCAAAGGCGGCCCAGGCAGAAATGCAGATTCCTGGGTTCCCAGTGCAGAGGGCAGAGGACTCTGCAAGTCTATCGGGTGCCCACAGCTGGGTCCTCCCCAGGGACCCGGGGCTCCGTGTGGAGGCGGCACGAACCTCTGCAGGACATGGCACCAGGTGCAGTTGAAGTTCAGGTCAGAGGAGACGCAGGTGTCGCAGCTGTGGTGCTGCAGGCAGGCTGGGGTGGGGGGAGACGGAGACAGAGAGGGGCTCAGCCCCAGGCCTCGCTATGGCGTCCAGGCCTCGCCCAGAGCGTGGGCGCCCTCCAGGCCGCAAGTGCCGCCCTCACTGGAGTCCAGCCTTGACTCTTTAAACCTCCCTTCCTCCCTCCTTTCTGGCCACCCAGGACCAGAGGGTCAGGCCCTGAGCTGGTGCTGGGGATGCAAAGGTCCAACCTGTTCCCCTGATCCTCGCCTGTTCAGGTCCCCTGGGCAGACAGACCCCAAACAGATCATCCCACAAAAACGACAGCAGAATTAGAGCTGTCCTGCGGTTCACGACATCTTATGGAGGAAAGCTCCAGGAACCCTGAGTATGAGCGGGTCCCACCTCGTTGGGAGGTCACATGGGAACAGTTAGGGCCACCGTGGTGGGGCAGATGGCTGTGAAGACAAAACGAGCCCCGGGGCGCAGCGAACCCCTCCCCTGCGTAGCGTGGCACATCCCAGAGGACGACTTGGGATGCCACGAAACCACAGGAGCAGGATGTTTACCTCCAGCGAGACGCTGTTACCAAGGAGACCTAAAAAAGCATGCGAGCCTCCCGTGCTCTGGGTCAGCTTGCAAATCACTAATGTGGAGGTCGCAGAGCTGGGCGGCACAGGATGCTCCCTGGCTTTGCTGTGGATGTTGTTATGGTAACCGTTGCTGGGTTACTTCTAGGGACCCGAAGCCCACTTTTGCTGAAGGGGTTGGCCCTTAACTTGAACCTACAGACATCCAGGGGTGACTGCCACGGGAAGAAACGCAGGCTCTCTTCATAATGTTTCTGTCCCCTTAGCGATCAGCCTTTGGTTCTGCATATAGACAGCTGATTATTTAAGTATTTTGCCCAGAGCCAGGCGTGGCAGAGCGCGCACACCTGTAATCCCAGCACTTGGGAGGCTGAGGCAGGAGAGTCATCTCGAGTTTGAGGCCAGCCTGGACTACAGCGGACTCTATCTCAAAAACAAACAAACAAACAAAAGCAAAGCTCTCCCTAGGTGGCTCTAGCCTTTGCCACAGCTCCGGGAAGGAGGTGGCGTTGGGCCCATGTTACAGATGGAAATGGAGGCTGGGAGGTGAGATGGCCGTGCCCCTCAGGGCTTGGGTGACCACGGTCTGACTCCAGAGTGAGTTCAGGATGGCACAACGCCCCCCAGCCTGGACACGACCCCTACTCACTGGGCAACGGGGTGAACTCCACGGCTGAGGCGCTGGCGATCTTGCTGGTGTCCAGCTCCACACGGTGGTACTCGAAGATGGTCCTGCGCCGCGACTCTGCGAGAGAGGCAGCACCTGTCCCCAGGCGCCGACCCCAGCCGGAGGCCCCGAGGCCCACTCTGGGGCCCTGGCCCGAGCCCAGACGCAGCTCGGAGGGAGCAGGGAAGCCTGTGGGCCGGGGATGCTACCGCTTCGGGGAGCTGAGGGCCAGAGAAGACCTGGGGAACAGCCTAGGGTACAAGCAGTCAGCTACTCCGCCAGCCCCACACTGTGTGCTTAAAGGCTCTTTGGAGGGAGGTGTGAGGCTGCGAGCTGCTCACAGGAGCTTCGGTTTCTTGTTATATTTGGTTTTTTGAGATAGGGTCTCACTCTGTAGCCCAGGCTGTTCTTGAACTCATGGTGATCCTCCTGCCTCAGCCTCCCCAGTGCTGGGATGACAGGTGTGTACCCCATACTCAGTTCTGCAGGTGGGTCTGGAGGAAACTTTTCTAAGATGGCAGCAGAGCTCAGTGGGTCATCCACACACAGAGGGGCTCCTGCGCCACTGCCGGGCACCCTGCCCACCCGCTCCTGTGAAGAATCGGGGCCCCCACTGTGTAGCTGAGCATCGCGGCACATTTCAGCACGTGCTGCTCCACCTTGGAACTGCTCCCTCTGCCAGGACTGGACCTCATTGCTCTGGCCCCCGCGCTCCCCACACCTGCAGCAGCCTCAGCGCGACACCTCAGAGACCAAGGCCGCCTCCTGCGCAGCGAAGAGGGCACCGCGCTGGTGTTGGTGGCAGAGGTCCCGGAAGTCAGCAGGCCCCTGCAGCCCCGAGGACTAAAGTCTGAGCACCGTCAACCACCACAACCCTGGGGAGCCCACCGGCCACCCTGTCACCCGCTGGCCAGGCGCTGCACCGGGCCGAGGAGACGGGACGGAGCTCCATCCTAGCGGATGTCTGTGAGCGCTGCTGGGACAGCAGGGACATCCCCTTCGAGGCAGCCTGGCCCAGCGCTGCCTGGTGGTCTGGACATCATTACCACCCGCCTTCACCCTGCCAGGCTCTGGTGCCAACCTGTCCATGCCCAGCGTCCTGGGGCCGCCCCCCTCTGCCACCCCCAGGTCCAGACTGATGCTCCCCCTCCGGGGTCACCCCGGCTTCCCTTGCTTCCTGCTTTTGTCCTCAGCAGAAACGGGACAACAGGGCACACAGGGACATTAATGCTCAGGGGGTGGATGGGCTTGGGGCCCTGGGGGCCGGTCCCCTTACACCCCCAGCACTAGGGGAGGGCCAGGGCGCCCTTTCTGCCAGGGACAATGACGCATGACGCCCAGCCCCCCTCCCCAGGACTCTGCTGGTTTCTAACAAGATCCAGGCTCCTGTTCCCGCCCTCCTCTTGTCCAGGGTGGGTCCCAGACTCGCTGCCGCCTGGGGGACAGCGGGAGGGAGCGGGGCCGGGGGTCCAGCTGGCTCTGACACGTGTCTGGTGGGAGGAGATGGGCCGAGAGCCGCAGGGGGCTAAGCAGTCAAGGTGTCCTGCCTTGTGTCACAGTGGGGAAACTGAGGTCACACAGAGAAACCCGCAAACGGATTCCGCTTTGTACAGCACTACAGGGTTCACCAAGCCCATCCCCAGCCTTCCATGGGAGCATTTTAGGTGGTGGCGGCGAACCTAGGGCGTGCGCGCCGCAGCGGGCTGTTCATATCATTCAAAGCTCTAAAAGGCTTGCCCTTGCCGATTTACAGTACCTAAATGAGCACATTCCCACAGACGCCCAGTGCCGCCCTGCTGAGCTCCTCCCGCAGCGCCAGAGTGATCGTCGGCTTTGCCCTGGGGCTCCTGCCAAGTCCCGACCACCAGGTGACATGCAGAACAGACCTGATGCTGCACCTGAATCATCTCATTTGACCTTTTTTTTTTTTGGTCCTTTTTTTTGAGGCAGGGTCTCGCTATGAAGTTCAGGCTGGCCTTGAGCTCACTTTGTAGCTCAGGCTGGTTTCAAACTCATGACGATCCTCCTGCCTCAGCCTCCCAAGTGCTGGGATTACAGGCGTGCACCACCACGCCCAGCCCATTTGACCTTGTAATTTCTGGGGTACACAGACAGACGTCACTATCTCCCCATCTGGCAAAGAAAAAAAGTGAGACCAAGGCAGCACCATTGTTTGCCCAAAGCCACAGCAGTTTTGGGTTTTTGCAGAGGCCAGAATTAGAAGTCAGGTCTCAGGGCCGGGGATGTAGCTCAGTGGCACAAGTGTCTGCCTGGCAAGTTGAAGGTCCTGAGTTTGATTTCCGATACCAAAAAATTTAAAAAGTAATCTAAAACTCAAGTCTCCATGCCAGGGCAGCTCCAGGAAGTCCCCAAAAGTGTCTACAACTGCCTGGCACAGCGTGGGAGGGGCCCGGGTCCCCAGGGGCGCCTTAGGCTGGTTTCAGCCCGATTCCAAGCCTCCTATCGAGCGTCACTGGGCGCTGAGTCGGGGACACGTGTTCTGTGCTGCCTGGTGACCTCCAGCGACCTCTGTGTCTCTAGAGAGGCAGAGGGAAACATTCACACATCTTTAAAAACAAATAAATCACACTTGTCATTCCAGCACTCAGGAAGCTGAGGCATGAGGACTGCCACAAGTTTGAGGCCAGCCTGGGCTACATAGTGAGTTCAAGGCTTGCTTGAACTACATGGTGAGACCCTGTCTCAAAAAACTAAAAAAGCCGGGTGTGGTAGCGTACGCCTGTAATCCCAGCACTCAGGAGGCTGAGGCAGAAGGATCATTGGGAATTTGAGACCAACCTGGGCTACAAAGTGAGCTCAAGGCCAGCCTGAACTGCATGGTGAGACCCTGTCTCAAAAAGAAAAAGAAAAGAAAACCAAATAAAAACAAATAATGAAGCCAAAACCCGAAAGATTCAATGAGTGTGTTTATCCTTCTCCTGAACAACCCCCAGCCAAGAGGGGCAGCAAGTCTCAGAATGTGGGCAAGAACTTGGGGTGTTCTGAGGAGACCAGTTCCTAAGAGGACCCACCAGTGTGAGTGCAACCCCAGGAATGCACATATGCCCCCACTCCTACAGACACCCAGATACACACACAGCGTTCTGGTGTTGGCATTGCTGGTTCTGCGGATGGAACACAAGGTCTTCACAATGCCCTCCATTCCCATCCTTTAAAAAATGTTTTATCTTGAGACAAGGTCTCACTACGTTGATAAATTGCCCAAGCTAAACTTGAACTCAAGGTCCCCCTGCATCAGCCTCCCAGAGCCCTGGGATTACAGGTGTGCGCCACCACGCCCCATTCACAGATTTTGTCTCTAAACAAGAGCCCTCGCCAAATCCAAGTGGGGTCTGACGGAGACTCAGGGGAATGAAGGGCCTTATTTTGTAACTCCTGTGCCCAGCAGGGCACCGAGCCCACCCGTTAGAAGGCAGCCCAGCACAGCGCCTGCCTAGCAAGCGTGAGGTTGTGAGTTCAATTCCCAGTACCAGGAAAACAAAAATGAAAGCACTTAGTTTGGGCTGGGGATTTACCTCAGCGGCACAGTGCCTG